GAGAGCCGGACACACTGCCTTTTTTAATTCATCATATACCCATGTTGGTCCGCATGAAAAAAAGGACAAGTTTGATGCTCTAAATAAATTTGTTGACAATACATTTGTTTATTCACAATCGTGTATGTAATAAAATTTGATGAAAAAATGTATTCTTAAAAGATATTCCAAACTATTTTTTGGCTTGTCTCGAGAAAAATTTCCTTTTTTTTTAATTATTTCGTACCGTGTCACGTTTTTCCATCGTATTCCACAAACATTACATAAATACGTGCATAAACATATTCAGGTGTGCATATATTGAGATAAATGTTGTCTTGTATTTCTCTTGAGCTAGATTTTTAAAAAGATTATGTCGTTCTCCGCTTCGTGCGCAAAAAACTTCAACCCCGTACCGCGAGAGTAGCACTTGGTTTTCTCTCTCTTTCTCTCTCTCTCTCATTCACGCATTCACGTATACAGGTATATGTGTGTGGACGAAACTCTCGCGCGCGCTGTGCTGTGCACATGCACTTAAAAGAAATATGAAGACGCTCTAAGCTGTTTAATCTGAGGTAATTTCCTTTTCTCGCGTGAAATACGCAGGTTTTTTGCCTCTCCCTCTCTCTAATACATATACACAGGCCGCGCCTCGGCGGAGAAGAGTTCATGCATACTTAAAGTTGTGAAATATTGTCATGCGCGGCTAGGAAAAATAAATGCGCGCATCACTGCGCACGCTTCACATTTTAATCGAGTGTATTTTTAATTCGCTTTCGCAAAAATATTATCATGACACTCGGTTTGCGAGAGAAAGAGAGAGAGAGAGCAAAAAGAAGAAAGGGGAAAAAAGTTGTATAAATCGCCGAAATTTCGTATTTACGACTGCGATAAAGTTTTTATCCAAATTTTTTTATTTTTTATTTCGAAACAAGTTAGCACAAGATATACACGGGAAGATTCATCCTGCGCGTAACTGTGTGTAATTAAAGCAGTCCAAAATTGCCTTTTGTATGTATAACGTCACCGCGTGACCGAGATCTCCATCAAAGGAGAAAATTGAATCATCATCAATTCCACGTCATTAATTGCCATGCCTTGGCATGACGAGAGCTTGTACTAGCAGTAGCGCGCGCTGCACTGCGATTCGGGAATTTTCTATGGAATAAGCGACGCGTACTAGTCGAGTTGGCGCAAAATCACGTCGGGATTCGTCGGATTGTGTTACCCCACGTCGGTTGTTGGATAGGTTTCTCTCTCTTGCTCTCCGTCTCTCTCTCTCTCTCTCTCTTTCTCTCTCCATATATATAACATCGAGTCAACTTTCCGAAAATTATACCACTTGGATCCAAATGACGCGAGTGGTTATATACATACTCGGTCTATGCTCAATTGTATAGGAGGTTTATGTCTTTTAGAAAAGGGTTGCGAGAGCAGCTCGTATAAGTGCCGGTTTCAGCGCGGGGATGTGAGAGGGACAGAAAATTTCCTTGGCTGCGGTAGTCGCCTAGCTGCACTGCCGAGCGCCCGCGTGGGGTTGATTATTTGCGGAGTATCTCCGAGAGAGATTCGAGACTAGCAAATTACCCTTCAGATGTGCCCTTTTTTTGTTCGCCAAACTCCATTTACGATAACTGCCCTGCCGAGACTATTTTCGACCAATTGGAGGAATGAATAACTATAGCGATTGTCTATAGATATTCAAAATTTATTAAAAAAAAGAAGATACGTTCTATAAATTCATTCAACACCTATTTCTGTCAAAGAATAAATCCTTTCTGCGCTTGGCTCGGAATATGTGCGTGAAAGTATGAAAAAAATGCGAGAGAAGAGAAAAAAAAGTCTGCCGGAGTGCCGAGAGTGCGAGCGAGAGAGAGAAGAGGGAAATGGGAATCGATTTGTTCGCGCGTCATGGCTTTTCTTTCGTATATCCTCGCGGCCATTCTCCTCTGTATGCTTTATTGTTGTGAATGACCGTCGCGTCGTCGCCGCCGCCGTCGTCCGTTCGTTCGTTCCTCTGTATATATAGAAACGATGAGATTAAACTTGCACACGCACACACGTGCCTGCCTGCCTGCTATACATATATGCATGCGGCAAGAACCGTATAACCCGAGCGAAACTGACCCGCGGCTATCGCTCTTTATATGTGCAGCTTTTTTTTTATTTAGTCAGTAGCGTAGCAGCACTATACGTATAGTATAGTTATACGTAGAACGCATATGTATATGCGTGGCGTGTGAAAAATTGCGAAACTAGATTCATCGCGCGAAGAGAGAGAGAGGGGCTGGAAAATATTTTTCAAAGAGCTCCGGAGATTCTCTCCTGCAGCGAGTGAGAGCTTTATTGCGTTTCGAGAAAATCCGAGACCGCTCGTTCGTTTGTTCGTTGGCTCGCTCGCAAGCACAAAACACTTATTATCTTGATTATTTCGGGCTAAGTACGGATGGGGCCAGAGCGTATTCAGGCTAGCTGCTGCGAATGAAAAGCCGAAAATTTCAATGGCGCGAGTGAGCGAGCAGGCGAGAGATACACTCGAGTGGCCAAGTGTACAATGTGCTCTCTGGTGGCGATGGTTGAAAAACATCGACGTGCACTATACACGCCTGCAGTCCTATTTCACTTGCAGCAAGCAGCCCGTCCCGACCCGAGTCTGCGAAAGCGACCACGACACACACGCCCACTTTTGCAACTTCCGATGAGCCGTTGGAGATTAGCTTGACCGAACTTGCTAGCTGCTGCTGTTATATATCTGGTGATGGTGCTGCTGCTGTTGCTGTTTTCAAGTCGCATTCGAAACAAAGAGCAGCAATGAGTCGTTGCTGCACTATTGGATGCCTGATATTAGCGATTAATCTATCATTATTACACTTTACTATAAGAAAAAAGTGCGATAGCCTGAAGAGTGAAGCCGCTTAAAACGGCTTCTGATTGGTCGAGTTACTTTTGACTCAAGCCGAATTGAGATACAGCGAAACCAGTGTTGCAAATTTTATCAATTACTACATTAGTAACTGCTAGTTGAAATATTCAATTATCTGCTACTAATCACGTAACAGCCAAATGAATAATTAAGTTGTGACTTTTTAAAATAGTAATTCATAATTGAAGTGTTCACTTACTAGTTTTTCAAGTAGTAACTGATAATTGAAATATTCATTTACGAGTTACTTGACTAGTAACCGATAATTGAATTATTCAGTTACCATTGTTTTTTAACTAATTGAAAAATTTCGTTACCAATTATTTCGTTGAATTAGTGATAAATTTTCAGTGATTTTAGTTTTATTTACAATCAAAACTTCAGTGTCAAATAATGGAGAGAAAAGATATGTAATAAATATGAGTAATATAATTCAATTTCTAATGTGAAATTTTACATATTCATGTGAAAAGTGAGTATTATCATCAACATAGTCACCAGAAACTAAGACTAGTGTGTACTAACATTCGAGTGAAACTAATAAAATGTTATGATGAACTTGGCGTATTTTACTATGTGCGGCTATCTAAAATAAGTTAAAATTGTCCTTGTGGGTCTGATATAGAGAAAATGTATATTTAATTGCTGTTTTTTCATTCATCAAAAAGTTTGAAACGGCCTCAATGATATGACTAATTTTATTACATATATTGGGGGATTTTTGTATCATTCAACTCCTGGACAGTTACGTTTCATCTTAAAATTGCCTGTGCCGTAACTTTCCATGTGAACCGTTTGACCAAATTAGCATTTTTTTCAGACCATATCCTAGCATAATCTGTAATTTTATCATATTATATTAATGAATAAAAGTGTATATATGGCTGTCAAATTGTGTATACTTATTTAAAATATCTGAAAGTGCTTCCGTTTGTCATTGTTTTCCATCTACTAAACCAAATGACACTCATATGACCATGATTGAACCAATTTTTTCTCGACTCGCAAGTAAAACTCGAAAAATCGGATACTTGCACAGCCGTATTCCGAATATTCGTAATTCCTAATATTTATCATTCCGAAATGTGAACATGGCTCCTCGTTCAGTTGGGTTACTTGAGTTACTTAGGTTACGAAGGTTACTTGGGTAACTTGGGTTACTCGGCCAAAAATACTCCCTTCGATTAGTTGTGTTCAGTCCTTCCTGAAGTATCTGCATGCACGTAGAAGTCGATTAGCAACATCTAACGCGGCACATCGCATCCGTGGACGCGATATATCGCGAGACGCAATCTTCCTTCGAAACGCCGGCCGGCACGCGCGCGTAATTTTTGCGGGTTCATTTTATTGTAGTTATATCGACACGTCCGCGTGAAGTCGCCACTAAGAATATCGTTCAAGGGGGCGCGTTGGGCGCTCGCATGACTCTACGTGCATGTCTTTTTCCCAGTGGCACTCACTGTCGTACAATAGCTCAGAGCTACAACACACATTCATACAGAGACAAATAAAGAGAGGTTTTTTTATAACGATTTTTCCTCTTTAAAATAGTGTATTGTTTATTCATTCTCACCCTTCACATACTTTTTCACGAGATTCAAACATTTTAGTAGGATCTCGATCATACATTTTGGTGCCTCCTGTGAGGTGTGGAAGTGCACACCTGGACATAGTGACTACAGTTTTAAGTGATTTTTTATCGGATTTTTTTTTGATTTGTGAGTGTGAGTTCATCTGTTAGATTGTGCGTGTATTCAACAGTAAGGACAAGGAAAAAACGATCCCGTGAGTTACCAAGACGGCCTGTTCGAGTTGAATAGTGCGCGCCATTTTGAAAGTAATACTCGCTCGAGTTGATCGATTCGACGTTCGATAACTGTACGTACCATTGTGTTTCTAAGAAAACAAGTTCACGCGAGTTACAGCGACGTGCGCTCTAGTGTGGCAGTGGCAGCGTCGACCGTTCGAGATCATTCGAAAATCTTGTCAGAGCGTGTATTCGCAGACTGTTATTCTAGGAACACGTTCACGCAAGTTATACAGTGCGCGCGGTCAAGGTCAATAATCGGTCGGTATCACCGTGTAACGCAATAAAACAATGGCTAGCGCAAGCGAAGTTGCGCGTAAGCGCGGTGTTATAAGAAGCAGAATAACTGCCATAAATAAAATATTATCCAACGATATAGTGGATCCTTTGAACGTTAGCCTTCGACTTGATCGTGTAACTGAACTGTTCAGAGATTATGAAACTCTCACCGATGCATTGACGGAAGAAGATGAAAATCATAGTGAATTAGCTCAAGCCGAAATTCTTCAAGACGAGTACTACAATATGGCTGCAAGGGTAAAATCAGTTACGGTCAGAAATTCATCGATTGCTAGTACAACGAACAATTTCGGTGCGCCTGTCGGCTCTTCGACTATAATCGAACGCCAACAATTGGTTAAATTACCAGTAGCAAATTTACCGCAATTCGATGGTGATTATGATAAATGGCTATCTTTTAAAAATACATTTTTATCAATGATCGATGCCCGAACAGATATAGATGAATTGAACAAATTTTTATATCTCAGAGATTGTTTGAAGGGACCTGCATTCAACAAACTTTCTTTATATGACACAAGTGCTGGTAATTACGTTCGAGCTTGGGCAGCATTAACTGACGAGTACGAAAAGAAGCGCGTGTTGATAGCAAAACATTATGACGGCATTCTAGATATTCCTATTCTCAATATTGCGTCATCCAAGGAACTTATCAAGATGATAGACGAAGCACGTCAACACGTCAACATGCTTGAATCTTTAAAGGTGACATTGGACAAAGGAATAATAGTAAGAATAATCGAGAAAAAACTTCCGATGGAGATTCGAACAAAATGGGAGGAATCTCTTAACTTCGACGCATTTCCAACGTTTGAGCAGCTATGCAAATTTGTTAGCGAATCTGCCTTCAGGATAAGTGCTTTAGAAACGCATTCAGTGCGAGATCATATATCTACAAATAATAAACGTCGCCAAGAACAATCAAACAATTACCACAAGTCGCGTAAGATAGATTCAGGTGCACGCGCGTTTGTGACAAACACACATGGAAATTGTCCACATTGCGCTGGAAATCATCCAATTTTCAAATGCACCTCATTCGAAAACCTTTCAATTCAGCAACGATGGGATTTCGTCAAGAAGGAAAGGTTATGCCGAAATTGCTTACGATCTCACACCGGTGCATGCTCGCTCTCACATTGTAAATTGTGCGACAAATTTCATAATACGCTGCTACACTCGACGCCGATGCGAGATGCGAATAAAAAACAGCAACACAAATCAGGCAATAAAAATTCAAGCCAATCAGATAATAATCCAGCTGAATCAAGATTATGACTAGAACGAGAAAGATTGAGTCTGACATCACAAGTTTCACGTGCACAGCTCATGATGAGCGCGATGATTTTCGTAGAAAATGGGTCAGGACAGTACATTCAAGCACGAGCATTACTAGATACTTGCGCGACTGCTCATTTTATGACTGATACTTTTGCTCGACGATTAAATATACCAATACAACCGTGTACTATACCCATCGGAGCAATAAATGAAACACATACCACATCTAAAGGCAGTATACAGTTATACATACAATCAAGTACAGGTAAATTTAGAAAAAGGTTGCAATTTCTTATCGTAGAGAAAATCGCTGGAATGGTTCCCGACGAAGTGTTTCCACGCGAAACAATTAAATTACCTTCAAATATACGATTGGCTGACCCTTTATTTCATTTGCCAAGATCAGTTGATATTTTAATAGGAGCAGGCATAACATTATCTCTGCTTAGTGTTGGACAGTACAACTTGTCAAACGATAAAGGTGACTTGATTTTACAAAAGACACAGCTCGGTTGGGTTATAGCCGGCGGTCAAGATGAAAGAAAACATCGGGTTCGTGCATCCTGTAATCTCTCTAATCTGTCGCAGCAACTTGATAAATTTTGGGCCATCGAAGACTTGAATGCTGATAAGGTAAAATCTCTTGAAGAAACACGGTGCGAAAACCATTACATTGAAAACACAACGCGAAATGAAGATGGTCGATATATTGTACGACTACCCTTTAAACGCAAAACCGATGATCTAGGTGATTCAAGAACACAAGCATTGCGTCGATTTTACGCACTCATGAATAAATTTGAGAAGGACCCAACTTTAAAAATCGAATACAATAAGGTTATGCAAAATTACATTGACACGGGACATATGTCTTTAATCACCGATGAGTCAAAAAATGGATATTACTTGCCTCACCATTCAGTAAGAAAAGAATCAAGCAGCACCACAAAATTGAGAGTCGTCTTCGATGCATCCGCAAAATCGAGCAAAGGATTTTCTTTAAATGACACGTTGATGACAGGGCCCACCATTCAAGCAAAATTATTCCAACATTTATTACGTTTTCGAAAGTATGTTTATGTGATTACGGCTGACATTGCGAAAATGTATCGCCAAATTTTAATCCATCCTGAGGACAGACGATTTCAAAGGATATTCTGGTTTGACAAAGGTGAAATCAAAACTTATCAGCTAAACACAGTTACGTTCGGAGTTTCTTCTGCACCGTATCTTGCCATTCGGACGTTACAACAATTGACCGAAGACGAAGGATCCAAATATCCGAATGCTAGCAAAATTTTGAAAAACGATTTATACGTAGACGATTTACTCACAGGCGCAGATACATTGACAGACATCATAAAAATACGTGATGAAATCATTTTATTACTTAAGTGCGGAGGGTTTGACATTCGTCAATGGGCTTCAAACCACCACCACGCACTTGATAAAATTGAAGATAAAATAGTTAATCTGGATTGCATAGTCGAAACAAACCCAGTATTGAAAACTCTTGGCATAGTATGGAACTCACAAAACGATAAATTACTATTCAAGTTTAATTGCTCGCAGCCATCAACGAAAATCACAAAAAGAATAATTTTATCGGAAATTGCAAAAATATTTGATCCTTTGGGTCTCATCGGTCCTGTAGTACTTCATGCTAAAAAATTAGTTCAAGAGTGTTGGAAAAATAGACTCGATTGGGATGAATCCGTTACACAAGAATTATACACTCGTTGGAATACCTTTAGAAATGAGTTACCACTACTTCAAGCTTTAAACATTGATCGACGATTGTTAATTGACGACCCAGTTCACATTGAGCTACATGGATTTTGCGATGCAAGTCAACTTGGGTACGGAGCTTCTATATACGTACGATCAACAAACAGGACTGGACAAGTATTAATTCGTCTTGCATGTTCCAAGTCGAGAGTCGCACCACTAAAAAATGTAACAATACCACGACTAGAACTGTGTGCGGCAGAATTACTAGTACGCCTGTATCAAGAAGCTGATTTTAAGTCTATGATGATCATCAAAGAAATAATATTTTGGTCCGACTCAACGATAGTGCTACAATGGTTAAACAAAGATCCACAAATTTTGAAGATATTTGAAGCCAATCGCGTTGAAAAGATTCAAAAATTCAAGGATGAAATCAAATGGCGTCATATAAGATCACAAGATAACCCAGCAGACGCTCTTTCACGTGGACAATACCCAGCAGAACTCATGCAAAATCAATTATGGTTCAATGGTCCTGCATGGTTAAAACGGGCATCTAGCGAATGGCCACAAGGTTGTGATGATAATACTACAGAATTACCTGGCTTACGAAATATAGCATGTCTCACTACGCAGATAAATAGCAGTGACATTCTTCAACGATTCTCAAATTATTCTAGACTTTTGAATGTTATGTCATATTGTTTTCGGATTTTACCATCGAATTCTTTATATCGAGATGTCAAAATTACAGTAGAAGAAAGAACGAATACAGAAAGAAAAGTTATCAAAATAATACAAGGAGAATATTTTGGACACGAAATTCAAAGATTGTCGAATTCCAAGGGTATCAAAGATTCTCGCCTTGCCGCACTAAATCCATTTATCGACGATCAGGGACTTTTACGTGTAGGTGGGCGATTACACAACGCCACAATAAAGGAAGATAAGAGACATCCGATATTACTGCCGTCATACCATCCCGTCACAGATTTAATCATCAAGGATTACCACATTTGGCTGCATCATGCAGGCATTCAAACGACACTCAGTAATCTTCATCATCGATTTTGGCTGCTCAATGGAAGAAACCAAGTACGAAAAATTATTCGTCACTGCGTGACATGTGTTCGACATCAGCCTGTCCCATTGCAAGCTCAAATGGGAAACTTGCCATCACCTAGAGTTCGCCAAGCGTATGCCTTTGAAAATACCGGCGTCGATTATTTGGGACCAATTTATATAAAGGAAAGAAAATTCCGTAATCGCACTCGCTTGAAGGCATATGCAAGCGTTTTCATTTGTATGGCTTCTAAAGCAATCCACATAGAAATCGTTAGTGATCTCACGACTGAAGGATTTTTAGGAGCACTGCGGCGTTTTATAGGCCGACGTTCTCGCCCTACGCATATATATTCCGATAATGGAACGAACTTCGTGGGAGCGAACAATCAATTACAGGAACTTCACGTTTTACTCAATTCAGAACAATTTCGCAATGTTGTTACAAACTTCGCAACTCGAGAAAAAATAACGTGGCATTTCAATCCGCCACTCTCCCCTCATTTCGGTGGCATTTGGGAGGCCGCTGTCAAATCTTTCAAACATCACTTCAAACGAGTGATAGGCGAAAAGTTACTCACATTCGAAGAATTGAACACTTTTGCCATTGAAATCGAGGCTATCCTGAACTCAAGGCCATTGTGCTCATTATCAACTGATCCTAATGACGCTTCTGCACTGACTCCCGCCCATCTGTTAATCGGTCGTCCATTAACAATGCTACCAGAAGAAAACTTGGAAGGGATTCCTGAAACGAGATTGACAGTATGGCGTTTCATTTCCCAAGCTCGACAACATTTTTGGAAAAGATGGCATGTGGAGTATTTGAGCGAACTACAAAAACGCCAAAAATGGTATTCAAGCTCAGGAGAGCTTAAGATCGACAGCATCGTAATAATCATTGAAAAAAATACTCCTTGTATGCAGTGGAAATTAGGAAGAGTCATCGAAGTTCACCCAGGAACTGATGGAATTGCACGCGTTGCCACGATCAAAACAGCTCATGGAAATTTCAAACGCAACATTACACAACTGTGTCCTCTGCCAATTACTGATTGATTTTATATGTACACAATCGTTTATTCATTATATTTTATTATTCATCATAAATAATCACTACAACTAACATGTAATATTGCAATAAATTCAATGAATCATACAAACATGTTGCTCGTCTCATCTCGCAACGCGGGGAGGATGTTCAGTCCTTCCTGAAGTATCTGCATGCACGTAGAAGTCGATTAGCAACATCTAACGCGGCACATCGCATCCGTGGACGCGATATATCGCGAGACGCAATCTTCCTTCGAAACGCCGGCCGGCACGCGCGCGTAATTTTTGCGGGTTCATTTTATTGTAGTTATATCGACACGTCCGCGTGAAGTCGCCACTAAGAATATCGTTCAAGGGGGCGCGTTGGGCGCTCGCATGACTCTACGTGCATGTCTTTTTCCCAGTGGCACTCACTGTCGTACAATAGCTCAGAGCTACAACACACATTCATACAGAGACAAATAAAGAGAGGTTTTTTTATAACGATTTTTCCTCTTTAAAATAGTGTATTGTTTATTCATTCTCACCCTTCACATACTTTTTCACGAGATTCAAACATTTTAGTAGGATCTCGATCATACAAGTTGTGTTACTTGGGTCATTTGGGTTACTTGGGTTACTTGTGTTACTCGGCCAAAAATCCTTCCCTCGATTAGTTGTGTTACTTGGGTCACTTGGGTTACTTGGGTTACTTGGGTTACTCGGCCAAAAATACTCCCCTCGATTAGTTGTATTACTTGGGTCACTTGGGTTACTTGGGTTACTTGGGTTACTCGGCTAAAAATCCTACCCCCGATTAGTTGTGTTACTTGGGTCACTTGGGTTACTTGGGTTACTTGGGTTACTCGGCCAAAAATCCTTTCCTCGATTAGTTGCGTTACTTGGGTCATTTGGGTTACTTGGGTTACTTGGGTTACTCGCCCAAAAATCCTTCCCTCGATTAGTTGTGTTACTTGGGTCATTTGGGTTACTTGGGTTACTTGGGTTACTCGGCCAAAAATCCTTTCCTCGATTAGTTGCGTTACTTGGGTCATTTGGGTTACTTGGGTTACTTGGGTTACTCGGCTAAAAATCCTTCCCTCGATTAGTTGTGTTACTTTGGTCATTCCGTATATTTAACATTTCGGTAATATTTATCATTCCGAAATGTGAACATGGCTCCTAGTTCAGTTGGGTTACTTGAGTTACTTAGGTCACATAGGTTACTTGGGTAACTTGGGTTACTCGGCCAAAAATACTCCCCTCGATTAGTTGTGTTACTTGGGTTATACTTGGGTTACTCGGCCAAAAATCCTTCTCTCGATTAGTTGTGTTACTTGGGTCATGTGGGTTACTTGGGTTACTTTGGTTACTTGGGTTACTTGGGTTACTTTGGTTACTTGGGTTACTTGGGTTACTTTGGTTACTCGGCCAAAAATCCTCCTCTCCCCTAGTGATTGAAAACTCATTAGGGAATGAAACTCTATTTATACATTTATTTAATTTAATTATACTGATCTTTTTCTGCGGTTGTCAAGTTGTATAATATAATTGAGCATTGATACTATGTATTGCTAAAATTTTTAAAAATGTAAAATTACGTACGATTTCGGACAGTCAATGAATTATAAAATGCAGCATAAAATCACATTTTATATTTTTTTACACTTTTTTTACATATTCTTCAACATGCTATCCGCATCTTATCGCATCGACCGCAGCAAGTGATTCTCGTGAAAAAAATGTATTGATTTTTATTAATAAATTAACAAAAATTATAAAATATATGTATATAAACCAAATTCAGTCATCTTAGTACTCCTTAGTACATCTATGTTGATTTTATAATGCTTTTTGCAGCATTAGAGTGAATCGAATTTTTTCACGAAAATCACTCACTGTTGTCAATGCGATTACGTGCGGGCTTGACCGCAAATTCATACGTAAAAATTGTAACATTTAAGATTATTATTACAGAATTTTGTGTTTTTTTACACTTTGTTACTTTCTTCATGTAACTTTCATGAGCTTGAATTCATAGGGGTTTTCATTTCTTTAATGATCGGTAAACAAATGTAACAAACTGTAATCAGAAGTAAAAAAATGTAGAAAAACGTATCACATGTCCGAAATCGTTAGTAACCTTACATTTTTTACACTTTTTTACTTTTTATTTCAGTTCACAACATTATTATGCACTTTATTTGTAAAAAAATTTCCGCTGGGGAAAATTATGACGCATATCAAGCTCCGTTAGTACCTGAAATTGATGAAACTGGCGACTTATTATTATATTTGAATCAAAAGTCAAATCATTTAGAGCTTTCACAGAACTTTCCAGGTGCAAATGCTCTTCATACAGCACAACACATTACTATCATCTTCAGCGCCTGTGGAAAGACTGTTTTCGCATGCTACATTATTGGACATCCCAAAATGAAATCGATCGCCACTAACAATGTTTGAGAAGCGAGTCCTCTGTAAAGCCAATAGCACAAAACTTTTTTGTAAAAAAAATATATCATTTTATTTTTATATTTTCTATTATTATAATAATTTAATACTTAGATGTTTAATATATGTGGGTTCCATTTTATAAACATTTTATTCGGATTTTTATGATAATTAACTCAGTAATTGATAATTAATAACTGATTGATTCAGTTACCAGTCACCAGTTTAGTAATTGATAACTTAATCATTCATTTGTTAATTTATCGATAATAACTTATAAGTGAATCAACCAGTTACCTGTTATTTATCTGGTAAATAATAACTAATTCAATCAGTTATAAGTTAATAATTGAGTAACTTTTAACTGAATTATTAGTTATCAGTTCTTTAATTATTAACTTATAACTGAATTATTCAGTTATCAGTTAACTATAAAGTTCAATTGAATAATCAATTAACTACCTGCAACACTGAGCGAAACTTACCATCTTGAATTTACGTATAGTCCTTTTATAAAAAAAATTGCTAAATAGCGTAAACCATTTAAAAGTCATTCAGTTTTCGTAGACTTGAAGAACGGAAACAGAGCTTGCAAAATTCAGGGTGAGCAGATCAACTTAAAGAGTTTAGAATTTATTGGCTTACTTACATTTAAGAATACTCAATTTTCCTCAAAAAATTTATTGTTCTTATTTCAAACTTCAAAATTCTTTTTAAATAATGAGATTACATTGGAAAAAAATACAACATATCATTATAAATGAAAATTGTTCAACTAGACACCAACGTGTACTTTATCGATGAGGTATTTGAGATTACGTTCCCGGAAAATTTTTTTCCACACACATCACATGTACACCTGATATCATTCTGCACCTCAGCGATGTGAGTTCAAAGACTGTTTTTTTATGCGAATTTTTTTCCGCATATTATTGTTTATAGATGTGCCACTATTTTGTATGGCTTTGAAGTGCTTATTGAGATCAGTCTAAAATTTCTTTCTGCATATATCACGTGAGTGGGTGACACCGTAGAACGACACATCAATGTATTTTTTGAGATCACTTTTCGAAGCATATTTCTTTTCACATGGATCACATGTATAGGAATTACCATTATGCACCGTATCAACGTGCTTCTTAAGATAAGATTTATTTTTATATTAATTTTTTTCATATATATTGCATTGATGAATGACTCTCGTGTGCAACACATTTATGTGGGGTTTCAAATTAAACTTAAATGGAAATATGTTTCCGAAAATATCTCATTCATGAGTAATTTTATTATGCACCGATTCCATTGGCTTTTTGAGATAATACTTTGTTAAGGATTTCTCTCCGCAAATATCGCATGTGTGGGTGATACCATTATGCTTCATATCGACGTGTTTTTTGAGATGAACTTTTTGTGTATATTCCTTTTGGAAAGTATCACATGCATGTGTGACACCCTTGTGCACCGTATCTATGTGATTTTTGTGATTACTTTTTTGTTTAACTTCCTTTCCACATGAATCACATGCGTAGGTAGTATTACCATGCATCGAATCAATGTGTCTTTGCAGACTTTTTTTTAGTGAAAATATCTTGCCGCATAAATCACATACGCATGTGACATCCTTATGCGCCGTATCAATATTATTTTTAAGGGAACTTTTAAGTTTAAAATTCTTTCCACATATATCACATGATTGGGTAATATCATTATGCACTATGTCAATGTGGGTTTTCACATAACCCTTTTGTAAAAATGTCTTTCCACATTTATCACATCCGGTTATCATGCACCGACCGGATGTTTGTAAGTTTGCGTTTTTTCTAATGTTCAACAAGTTCACAGTTGATATGCCGAGTTGAATCTTTTGTAATATCATGCATGAATTCTTGTTTCACTTGCCTCGTGGATTCAATTTTCATTATGTTTTGGATTTTATCACTATCTATTAAATTTTGCAAGTTATATGGAGTATAGTCATCAATTTTCTTAACTGACAACAAATTAGGGTGACGGCACCAATGAATGAATGACCCCCAATGAATGAATGACCAAGAAAAGATTAAAATTAAAATATGAAAGGAAATTTTAACCCGTGTCAAAAAATTATTTTTATTTTATTGATGCTTGAAGTTTGAAATACTATGATCAGTTTTAGTTAAACTAGCTTCACTTTTTTACCAAAATTCAAATACAGTCGATAGTGAATGAAGGTATTCATTTACTGGGATATGCGACTTGGCATGGCGCAAAACCAGTAAATGAAAAGACAATTTTTTCGCCGTCCCGCCAACGTTTGGGGTTAGGTCGCAGATGATGCATGCAGGGCGCAGTGCGTACATCGTTTAGATTTACGTTATAATTATAGGCTAATTTTAACTTAATTTAAACTAGTTATTTACGATGGCTAAAACTGAAACGAAGAAAGGTGCTAAACGTAAAATAAAACCTGTGAAAAATAAAATAAAAAATGCAACCATAAAGAAAACAAGAGCTTATAGAAAGAGATTTCTCTATTCTCAAGAAGCACTCGAAGAAGCTGTTGCACTTGCTCAGTCTGGACGGATAAGTATTAATAAAGCTGCTATACAGTATGGAATTCCTTTGGGAACATTATTTAATAAAGTGAAAGGAAAAGTTCCATTGAAGAGACGAATGGGCCCGAGAACTGTTTTATCGGACGCAGAAGAGCAAAGAGTTAAGAAATGGATTCTAGATAAGGCAGCTATAGGTTACCCAATGCACCACACAATTGTTCGCCAAGCTGTAAAAAATATTTTAGACAAAATTAAGAGGAAGAACCCATTTACTAATAACTGTCCAGGTAAAAAATGGTTAAAATTATTTCTCGGACGCCATCCTGATATCAAAAACAAACACACAGAAATGCTCTCTCGAGTTAGAGCTGGAGTAACTGAAAAAGTTATCAGAGCGTGGTTCATCGATTTGGACAAGTTTTTACTCGAGCAAGGTGTCTCTGACATCATGAAAGATCCTTCCAGAATATATAAAATGGATGAAACAGGGGTGTGTTTGTGTCCCAAGACGGGAAAGGTGCTAGCTCCTGTGCAGGAAAAAAATGTTTATAATATTTCACCAGGAACTGATAGAATGCAAATTACTGTGCTGTGTTGTTTTAGTGCATCTGGAGTTAGTGTGAGGCCGATGATCATGTATCCATACAAAAGAAGTTTGCCTTCAGAAAGTGTTGACACTGTTCCAGATGGATACGCAGTAGGGCATAGTGATAATTGATGGATGACATCTTCTGCCTTTTATGAATTTATTGTTAATTGCTTTTATCCTCAACTGCTAGAGAATGGCGTTCAGTTTCCTGTTATAATTTTCTTTGATGGGCATAAGTCCCACATCAGCATTGAATTGCATGATTTCTGCATTCAAAAGAAAATTATTCTTTATTGTTTTGTGGCTCACGCTTCTCATATAATGCAGCCGTTAGATGTAGGCACTTTTAGGCCACTAAAAGTTTATTGGGCTCAAACTGTAGCAGAACATGGTCAACGCTCAAATAAAATTATAAATAAGTCAAATTTTGCACCTCTTTTCCACACGGCATACTCAAAATTATTATTAAAACCGGATATTGTAAAAAAAAGTTTTGAAAAAGCTGGACTTTTTCCTTTTAATGTGGATAAGGTGGACTATAGTAAGTGCATAGGATACAGAAGAGCTTGCATGAAAGATAACGTGGCTAATGATGCACTATATGAAACTACATCTAATAACAGCTACAATATAGAATCAGAAATACCTGTTGACATTTTAAAAGATTTTCAGCTAAACTTATTATTGGGAACTATGCCACAATCAGAAAAAGTATTATTTATGATATGGAAAAAAACAAAACTTCCTAAAAAGTATAATAACATATTAAACATAGAAAATAACAGTGTAGACTTAAAAAGTACTGATGAACCCGGGAATAATAGCTGTCAATTAATAGCTTGCGAAGATGGAGTAAATATGTGTGATAATGTTCCAAAGATATATATAAAGTCTAATTCGATTTCAACACTTATCGTTGAACAGTCACTAGATATAAACAAGAATATGGATAACAGTGTCATGTCAACAGTCAACTTGACTGATATCAATATTCAAGAAATACCACATTTTAATGAAACAATTTTGGAGGAGATGAGTACTTCTGTTAGCAATGGTACCAAAGATACATTTTCACTACCATATGTAATGTCAGATAATAATGAAACAGTTTTGGACCGCATGGAGATTTCTGAAAGCAATGGTATCTTAAAAATATCTTCACCACCGTATTTGATGTCTGATCATTCTCAACTCGCCCACTCATCTAATGATGTTGCAGTTATTAATGGTAAATATATTATGTGCAAAACTATTTTTACATTTTTTATGTAAATATATATGCAAAGCTATATTATTTGATGTATGTTCTTTTTTTATAGACTCATCAAGTGTGTCAGCAGTAATTTCCAATGAAAAATTTTGCTCAAATGCATTGTGGAATTTAGATAATGCTACTCCTTTTCCCAGGAGCACTTTACATTCACCCACTGACAGTACTCTTCAAGTCGGTGAGTATATTGAATCAAAATTTTAATAAAAGAAATGTAGATACTCATAACTCAATTATTATTTTGCAGACTTTTCAACAATAGTCAACAATGATATTTCTGTGAAGAAAGAAATTTTGGATAAAAACTATGTTGAAAATGTATGGAAAGAAAGCTTACATTTTCCTCGCATAGAGACAACTAAAGTAAAAAAATTGAAAGTTGATCATGTTCCAACGTATGCGTTGACCTCAGAACAATGGAAAATGCAGTTTCTTATGAAAAAAAATGAAGAAGAAAAAATAAGGCAAGAAAAGGAGTTGAAGAAAAAAGTTCAGGAAGAGAAAAAGATTTTGCAACAAAAATTGAAACAAGAAGATACCAAAAAAAGATTGAGAGAAGAACAAAAATCTAAAAAACTTCAAGAAGCAGAGGAGAAAAAAAAGCTTCGAGAAGAGGAAAAGCAAAAAAGAACTAAGGCGAAAGAAGAGCTAATAGAACAGAAGAAAAAAGAAAAAGAAGAAAAAGAGAGATCCAAAATTGTAAAAAAGCAGAAGATGCTTGATAAGATAATATCAAAAAAATCTGAAGTTTTGGCCAAAGAAAATAAGTCTCCTGAAGACAATCTCATGCAAGACACAGAAAATGAGTCGATTTCTCCAAATGCAGCTCAAAACATTGAAAATAGAGGCGTTCTGCAAGAATCCATCTCTTTTTAAATTTTGTCATTTTAAAAATGTTCATATTATTTTAAAAATGTTCTTATTATTCTAAAAATGTTCATATCATTTTAAAAATGTTCATATTATTTTAAAAATGTTCTTATAATTTTTAAAATGTTCATATCGTTTTAAAAATGTTCATATTATTTTTAAAATGTTCATATTATATTCAAAATGTTTCAATTTAATTTTATTAAACAAATAAAAGTCCTTCTGAATACATAATTAAGTTTTACTAATTCTCTTTATAGGCGTAATTTATAGGCTTAATGTCGATAAAATTCCTAACCTCTCAATGCTCTCTCATGATAAAGTTCATTCATTCACTGGGTCCAGAGTATTCATTGATTGGTTCTTTACCATTCATTCACTGGGGTACCCCATTTTATTGAGTTATATCATTTATAACTTTATGAAATATTATTTTTCATGTATTTCAAATTTTTTATTTATGAAATAAGTCCCAACGAACACAAATTTGTATGCACGCTTGGAATTGATGCACAATTAGATTTTAAATCAATTAATTACAAGCATAATTTTGTGAATCCATTCATTCACTGGTGCCGCCACCCTAATGTTGGGCTTCGAATTTTCACATTAAAAAACTATTTCCATATCTTCTTTGAGTTCACAGGAAAAATTCAAGTTATATTCTTCTGCGACATCACCAAAAAATTCCTTTTTCATTTTTCTTGCGGTTTTGATTTCATTAACTGACGATAAATTAATTTTTGGCTTGAAATCCTTACACTGAAAAACTATTTCTATTTCGTCATAAAGTTCACTTTCATGATTTTCTTAACATTTTCGAAAGGTATGGGTCTGTAGAATAATTAAAGCTATGTGTGAATTCTTGTAAAGAAAACAGTTAGGATACCACTCAAATATCAAAATTTACTGAATGTTCTCGCGGAAATGGTAAAAATCGGAAGTTTTTTAGATCGGGTTTCTCATCAGTCATATAATGATCATTTTCAAGGAACGACGCATCGCTAGGCTCCTCTTTCACTCTGAAATAATCTCAATAAGATCGAGTATTTTGTTATTAAATTTTTACAAAATCATTCTCAAAAACTTAAAATTACCTGACAGCACAATCAATTACATCACTAGATTCCATTATTCTCACTTGTAATTTCGTTTAAAACTAATGCGTTTACTTGCGATGATCGAGCTAAAACTTCTAAGAAGAAGGTGCCTAATAAAGAGAGAGAGAGAAAAAAAAATACACTTGAAAACCGGTGAAAAGCACAGAGTTATGCTCACTCGTTTGTTTACGTCATGCGTGGCACGCGGGATCTCTTCGCGTGTTGCCCAGCACACGCGGTATTTTTTAATGTGTGTAGGTAGTGCTACGCTACAACAACACCAAGGACTGTGCCGTGGTCGTGCATAAACTGGCGTTATTCGCTTAGACACATCGTTTCAAAATATTATAGCGAACACAGCACTACGTTCTTCAATATTTATAAATCTTCTTATGAAATCTGTGAAGGATGTAAAACTAAGTTATTATAATTTTATCTTTGAAAAAATTAGCGCATTAGTGGTATTAACACATGAGCTATTAAAAAGTGCTGAGTAAAAGTTAGTATGCAAAAAAACTGAAAATTTGACGAAAATTTTATTCAAACGATACGATATTTTAACTGGAACGTACCAAATGATCGGGTGAATGATTCTTTCGAGCAAAGAACGAGGACTTTGCCTCTTTGAACGGTACAACTTATAACCTTTGTAAGAGCATTCCTGATGGCTTGACACCGGCAGTTCTATTTTTGCTCGCGCAACCCAACCCCTTATACGGAATTTCTTATCGCAGCGAACTTGTCAAGCATTGTAAAATCAATACCGACGCTTCTCGAGCATAAAACCCTGACTGCTTACTTTGTTCGCTGGAATTATAATTTAATATATTTTTGTCATCTCAAGACTGCATGACTAAAAAGTAAACATGGTAACAAGGAAAAAAAGAGGAATTCGATTTCCAAAGGATATGAAATCCGCTCTGCGAGCTCGCAAGCACGCAAGTATATGTAGTAGATTTAATTTTTCGAAAATTCCATTAAGCTCCGAGTGAGTCGCTAGTTGCGCGAGCCGTGCAGTGTATATAGACGGTAATAAATAAACGTATCCTCTCAAAGAACGTGTTTTTCTCTCTTTTACTTCTCTATAGCTACCTCCTTTCATTAAAAAAGCTTTGACCATATTACTAGTACACATACTCGCACACACCGAATTTACGTGACTGAACGAGTATAAAGAATGATATTTTGGTTAATTTTTGCGAGGCAAGGAAACAATCATTAAAAAAGGAAAAAACTCAAGTGATACATTGAAATTTTCGATAAATCGCTACTAATGAAACCCCTTATTATATCGTCTAAAAATTATGTAGATGAAAAAGTTATTGTTTATTCAAGCTCGTTTCCGAGTGCGCATTGTGGCATTTTGAAGTCCATCTTTTATCCATTTTAATTTAATATGAAGGTAATTTAACCTAAAATCCACTCTGGTTTCCGGTGAGGACGTACTCGAATCGTTTTTATCCTTTACCTTATTGCTATAATCTTTCTATGCGAGTTTCTTCTGTTTCTCTCTATTTTTCACTTTACCTCGCCGCTCTTATTTGAGCTTTTATTTCCCTTTCATTTTTGGCTGGGTCTCTTATTCCCCTTAGCCTTCCTCTGGCTCTCTGTGTCTCCCTCTTTCTTTGGCCTCGTGCAGAAATTGCAACGGAGGCCACAAATTTTTCGGACAAGCTCGTTTGTTTTGTGGAAAATCCATTTCTCTGTTGCTGCTCGCACGCTGTGTCTGTATGCAGTGTATGTGTGTGTGTGTGCTCTGCCCTGTTGTGCGTGGTTGCACTGAAAATTTGATGTCCGCCGCCTCGACTTTTTTTTGCTTTTCCCTCGGCTCGTCGTTTTTCTCCGTGAAGCAGCTTATTTATCGAGTTTTTTTTTGTTGCGACCCCTGGTTTCCGGCGCTGGGCTTTTTTCCTTCGAAAGCATTTAACTAAATTAAAGTTGCCTTTATATAGCCCACTCCGTGATAAGCTCTAATTTATTTTCTGCTGAACCGGTGTTTTGAGTTTATCGTCATTTAATTATTAAAGCACACAAAGCGCCGAAGTCGAGTTTATTTTTAAATAATTATCAGTTTATTTGAAAAAATTTAGATTTCATCGAGTCGACAACAATATAGTTGCAAATATTCTCTTTATATACGGTTTATGTGACTCTCTGACCTGATGACTATAATTATTCCTTTTCCGAAACTTCCTTCGGGATCACAAAAAAAAATTGTGTCACTGCTGATAAAGATAGACAAACATCGTTAAGCTTTTGTACTGAAATTCTCTTTTAAATACATCATCCAATTGACACAAATCGGTCGTGAAAATTGTGTACCCCCTGTGCAAAAAAAAAAAATAAATAAAAGAAGAAAAGGCACATCGAGTCAAGCTCAGTCAGAGGATGCGCAGCTTACCGTCGGGACGTTGCCCAGTTTCTCAATATTTCGTTCAAAAAATTTTCCTCATTCCAGCGGGAAAAAGAAACGGCGTACCCTATACGAAATGAAAAACGAATGAAAAAAAAAGATGAGCTCACGTGAGCGCGAGAGTACGGGTTGAAAAGGAAGAGATGGATGAACGATTCAAGCTAGTGACTAAATGAAATGTTTGCTCTTTCTCTTTTTCACTTGTCAAGGAACGATGTATAGCGTACTTTGCAGTACCGAATATGTTTAGCCTACATTCTTTGAAACATCTCATTGATTTCATTATTTGTACGTTGAAGCGCTCGATGCGCAGGCGAGACAAAAACGACGACGACGCTCGCTTTCAATGCTCAAAAAAATAAAAGCAATCAGCGATAGAGCTTAAAATGCCTGCACACTCGGCATATTTTGAATTAATAACGAGGCGAAAAGCTCTGCTACCTACCTACCCACGCGCGCGCCCTAGCTCTCGCTCAACTCGCATAAGGCGAATTGCGCTGCGCTGCGCCGCGCGTCTGTATAGAGGCAAAGCTCGGCTCGCATAAGAGTGCATTTTAGCCAACTCCTGCAACGAATATAGTATATACGTGGAAGCTACATTTGCGGGTTATGCACGAAAATAAAAAAAAAGAAGGAAAAAAAAATAAAAGGATCAGAATGCAAAATATTTGGAGTGCCAAGCTTTTTATGCCGTATACACGTTTGCGCGTGCTATTTATAGCTTTCGAGCTTTCTCGAGTATAACGCGCAAAAAATTCATAAAAGAAGGGAAAAAAAGAAGAAAATCATTGTTCCGACGGATCCAAATTTACTTTATCGATCTCCCTCTTTCTCTCTATCTCTTGTACATATCCTCTCAGCATCGAGCGCAGACAGTTTGTTACGGTCAGCATCCAACACACACGCATGCACACAGTTAGTAGTGTATAGATACCGTTGCGCGCCCGTACAATATTAACGCAATCGCACGTCGAGCCATGCACAAGGCACATTACAGGCAACGTTTTCGCGCTCCCGTAACTATGGCAAATTATCCCCAGGCTCGAGAACAATAGCTGCGCGGCGTATATTCTTACATTTGTTCTCGCCGCGCGCGCGCACATAGAGTATGCATGATAGGAACGCGGCTCGGCGGTATCCTGCAGTGTCTCATTACGCAATCACGATTAATAATGAAAATAAATCTAGCCTCGGTGATGCGATATATACACACTATTATACTGTGCTGCTGCTGCTGCTGCTAGCCCGGCTGCTGCTGTTCGTGCTGCCGCTGCCGACACACGAAAACCGGAAGAAAGCTCGACGCGCGATTGCTCCACCTAATTAAATTAATTAAACACACTGTGCGCGTGCTGTCTCTTTCCGTCCTCATTCACGGCTCGCTCACTCGTGCGTGTCAGGTGAAAAATTTAACCCCCCTTCCTTTATTTTCTTGATTATAATATTGTGATTACTCGATTAATTATTTGGAGGTTTGCTATCGCAAAGATTTTCCTCTTTATTTTTTATTGTTTCTCGTTTGAATTGTTTCCAGAATGTGAAGAATTTCACGCTGTCACGGAGAGGCAATGTAAAACGAAGACGAGAATATTCGTGGATTAATGCCCATTGACACATTTATCTCGTTTATATCACGCGAACACCATCGCAGACATTATATTATCATGATACCATTGCCTCTGCTTTCTCGCCATTATGTATTATGTTGAAAGAAGAGCAGGAGCAGCAGATTCACGAAATTGCTTTATAATCT